AGATATAGAGATCAAATCTAATTAGTATCTTCAAACACTAATTTCTCATGAGAAAGGGACAGGGATCAAAAGCTCTTGGAAACTAAAAAGAATTGCTGAAACTAAGAAAAACGTCATGGAAAATTTGCAAAATAAAGCCAGGAAAATTTCCAGTAGGAACAAAAATCAACAAATGGAATATAAGAAAAGATAAGTGACATAGACGATCAAGCCCAGAGCTCCAACATTCTGCTTAGAAGTTCCGGAAAATAAAAACATAGAAAACCAAGGGTAGACAATTATTTTAAAATTACACAAGCAAATTTTTCACAGCAGAGGGACACAGCCTTTGGGTTGAAGGGTTCTCCCGGCATCCAACATAATGAGTGAAGACCCGCATCTAGACACGCCGCTGGGAACCAGTGTGACGAGGCCATCCCAAAGGTTTCCACGGATCACAGTCTCCTGGGTGTGAGTGTGGGTGCTGGGGTCCCTGACCGAGGGTTTGGTCACATTTCTTCAGGGGTCCAGGAGCCGAAACCGAAACCAGATGAGCTCTTGCCCTATCCTTGCTGCAGTGGGAGAAGCCGCCCTGCTAGAGAATTGAATGAGCAGCTATTTCTCAGTCTCAGGGACTGGCGTGTGGCAACCAGAATCTTAAAGAAGTATGTACAGTATTATTCAAATTTAGATTTTAAAACCCACGTGCATTTATTTTTAATAGGTAAAAGACATACCACAGCATTAACGGGTGATTATCTCATGGACTTCCTTTCTATGAGCACTGCGGCCTGGAGCAACAGTTCTCACACTTCGGGGTGTGTCGAATCGCCTAGAAGTTAACGAATGCAGAGCCCCAGGTTTGGTAAAGCAGGGTAGGGCCTGGGTCTGTGTGCGTTTACCAAGTTCCCCAGACCATGATTCAGATATGATCGAAATTGGAAAAGCCCTGGCCTCGCTCAAAGTGTTAAGAGGGGATTAAGATATGCAAATTGCTAGTTATAAAAACAGTCATGAGGATGTAACGTGCAGCATAAGGAATACAGTCAATCGTATTGTTAATAAATATGCGTGACATCAGGCGGGTACTAGAATTATTGGGGGACCACTTCGTAAGTTACACAAATGTATATAAATGTCTAATCACTATGTTGTATACCTGAACCTAATATAATATTGTATATAAACTGTAATCGGAAAATAAAAAAATTATTTAAAAAAATACATAAATAGCAAAAGAAATATAAACGAAGAACAGCGCTGGGCTTTGTCACCCTGGTCACAGCAAATCCCATCTCAGAGGGCTTCCTTTTCAATGGACAATTTCTGCGCTCTCTGCCTGGCCTCCCGCCCGCTGTAACGGCCACTCAGCCACCTAATATGACAAAACACGGCTCGCGTGTTGAAATGGGAAGAGTGGCTCTGCCAAGCAATAGCTGTGGTTTTACGTTTTTTTTTCTTTTTCATCATTGCCTTTTTTTATCTCGTGGTTTCTTTAGCACGAGAGGAAGAAGGAGGCTTCTGAGAATGGAGGTCAGACCCTCGGCTCCACACTTCCTGGGGCCTGGTGTAAATTATCCCCCTCCTGGCCCTCAGGGAGCCCTCTACTCCCCCTAAAATTGTTCTAAGAAAACTGGTTGCTGATGAGAGGAAATCCTCCCATCCTACCCTCCACCCCCTCCCTGCCAACTTGGACATCCCAAGGCCCAGGAAAAGACCAGCGCAAACCCAGCAGACAATGACGCTGAGGGAAGGCAGCGAGGCGGGGTGCTACTGCCCTGCCCCTCCCACCTTCCTCGTCGGGTTCAGCCCACATCTCATCAGGTGTCACCCCAGCAAGGCTCAGTTATGGTCCAGGTAACTATCGGGGCCAAACAGAGTATTCAACAAGGTGGGGTGAAGGACAGAACAGCAGGTAGAGCATCCCTCTTGGCCCCTCGGGTCATCTGAGAGCATGAACACGTTAGCTGCTCAGGCAC